ATCCCGCTGCCCACACTGTCACCCACCCACCCCAGCTTTCTACCCACCGCCTTGAGCTCCGTGTATTCGGTCGTGGTGTTTGCCAAGCAGCGGACAGCCTCGGCGTTGCTATACAACTGGCTCTCAGCTGTGCTTGCACGGTGGTTAATGTCCGCGTAGTTCAAGGTATCGGCTCCCTGACACACGAAGAAGAGGGATAACCTCTGAAGCTCGTGCTGCTCCCCTGCCTGCAGCCCGCAGCAATGGGAACATCTCCCATCCCGCTGCCTTTCCTGATGAGAGCTGAGATGGCTGCAGGAGCACTGGGGGAAAACTTCACTTGCAGCAAGGGCTGACTCAACATTCCCCAGGGGAAATCTGGTTAATGACACCAGCCCATCCTCGAAAGCTGGCAGAAAACACTAGAAAATACTTCCCAAGCAGTGACCGAAGTGACCCAAGCAGCTACTCCGCAGCCTCCTCAGGTGCGCTTTGCTGCAGGTTCCCAAGGATGTTTCACCCAGAGAAGCAGCTCCCATGGTTGGAAAGGCTTGAAAACCTCTCAGCTCAATCCTAAATTCCCTTCCTTCCCAGGAATACTCTGTGATAGCCACACAAAATCCCTGGTCGGCTCTTTATCTTGGTGAACGGAACCCAAAGGATCCCTCCCAGCCTAAAGGGCCATGAACTTGGCCCAAGACCTCGTGCGGTTTGCCTTACTGTATGTGACACACTGCGAGTCCAGTCCATCTCTACAGCTGCTCCGGAGAGGGCTGGATGAAGCACAGATGTGGTTAGACACGGGTGAAACCGGAGGGAAAGAAATGTATTAAAAAAACCCGCGCTGCTGCTGCTGCAAATCTTGCTGTAAAGCAGGAAGGGAATCTGTTGCCCCATCAACCATCTAAACTGAAGCAGTTCTTCAAATAAAACCAGACCCCACCTGCCAGCTGGTGATGACTCCTCCCATCTCGCCCCGTCCTTCACACTGGCCTTAAACTTTGCATCAAGCCTAGCGCAAGCCAGGCCTACGCAACTGAGCACGTCTGGAGAAGCTGATGGCGCCCAGACAAACTCAAGCGGGTGCCATGCCAGGCAGCACCCATCCTGAGAGCTGCCATTCCCCACTCCCATGGGGACAGGACCCGTGGGATGGTCCCACCACCCCCTTGGGGGAAGGAGACCTCCGTGGTGGAGGTCTCAATGACAGACCCAGGAACTGGATGGATGAGGGAGGGAATAGGGGAGAAAAAAGAAATATAGAGGAAAAAACAAATAGAGCAGAAGAGAGGCTCTGGTGCAGAAACAGCACGTGTGGCAGCAACATCTTCGCTTACCCTTGCTAAAGTTCTTCTTCCTCTTCCTGGAAAGTATTACCAAAACACCAGCAGCAACCGCAAGCAAAAGAAGAACTACTATGATGGCTGGAGTGAGGATGTGCTCAACCACGTCCAAACTGCAAGAAAAACAGAGCTTCTGTTCTCACACTTTAGACTTGGGAGGAACCAGCACGAAACAGGCACACAGGGAGTGGCTGCAGGTAATGGAGCTTGCCTCGGGAGGAAGCGGGGGTGCTCAGGCCACGAGCTGGGCATGGAGCAAAGCAAAGTGAAAACAGCAGAAGAAAACGGACACTTGGGTCTCAGAGCTGATGCATCTTCACTGTTTTGAGTATCAGCTCCTGCATCTACTTTTGCTCTGGTTTAGCTCCACCAATTGTTGACCTTGTAACGGGCAACCAGGCAAGGTCGGTGTGCTAGCCACCCCTTGAGTGTGCTGATGGGAAGCCTCAGGTTTGCTCACTTCATGCATCACCTCCAAGAGACAGGAGAGGAGGGGAGAAGCTCTGCCGCTCCGGTCTCGTGCTTTGTCAACTATCTCCACTGGGCTGCATGTGACTACAAACCAGAACAGGACCCAGCTCAGCACTTGGTTTCCCACAAGCAAATGGTCCCTCTGAATTTTGGGGAAGGAAACGAGGTCACTGCTGCAGCCAGAAACACTTCTCACATGGCAATAAGCCACACCTTGCTTTAGCTGCAAGACAGACAGGGGACAAGGAGGGCTTTGCCAGGGCCAAATGACATGGGGTGCTGGGATTATTTTCTGTGTGGAGTGGCTGGGTAAGAGGATGAAATGCTGATCTCTAAAGATGAAAACAGGAGGTCTGACTCCTTAAGGGGGGTCTGAAGAGCCAAGAGGGTTGCAGGGGTCCAGCTGTACCAAGGAGACCTCATGGAGGGAGATGGCTGCTGCAGGCAGGAGCTGGTACTCACGGTGGAAGGTTGGAGTCTTTGTTGTGGGAGAGATTTGATCCCGGTAACACAGTTTTCCCCTGGTGAGTTGTTTGTGTGGGGACTGATACAGAGCTAGGGAGATTGTGGTGATTGGTAGTTGGGGTGTAGGGTGATGACGGGGAGAAGGAAGGAGCTGTAACAAAAAGAGGAGAGGGTCAGTCAGTCTCCCTTCCTCTATAGTGGAAAATGCTGTGGGTTTTGCAGTGAGTCACTTACCGTCACACCACGGGAAGCTGGGCCCCCTCTGCCACATCAAGAGCATGCTCCTTGTGGTGGGAGGGCTGTAATCCCCTGCCCCTGCCCCTGCCCAGGAGGCTTTATGCGGTTCCCATCCCCCGCAAAATGTGCACATGCACACGGACGCAGCAGAGTTCACCCTGCAGTAAGGGGGTCTGGGTACACCATGACTAGCCCAGTACTAGCAAAACAGCCCCATATCAGTGTCCCACCATGAGGGCAGGTCCCTGGCGAGAGGACAGAGAGGGACAGTTCCCTAAGCCGAGGGCACGGCACCCACAGGCCCTGCTGCCCCACAGCAGGAAATGGGGCAGCGCGGGGGGGTGAGGCGCTCCTTGACGTTATAAAATAAGGCAAGGAGAACACAGACAGGGTCAGCAGGATCTCATGAGAGGAGAAAACGGGGCATGAGGAGGAGGGTGGTGCATCCCAGTGATGGGGGTGGCTGACCTGGGGGCGCTGAGAAGGAGCCATGGTGAGAAATGAGCGTGGAGAATGGGTGAAGGCAGTAACTGCCACAGCAGCAGCCAGACGAGCCCTGGTGACAGAGCCTGGGGCTACCCCACACCGTATGGGCACCCACCTCCTCCACCCTGCCCCTCCCTGAAGCCCCTGCTCCCAGCACTTACAGGGGGGCACATCAACACTGGACCTGGGGGACCCGCAAGTACTGACCTGGGAACACAATCACCATCACATCATCACTCTCATCCAACTGGAATATGCCCGTTCGCACCCCGCAGCGGAACATGCCCGCGTCCCCCATGGTCAGCCCCTCCACTGTCACTGTGAATTCCTGCCGTGCGCGATCGTCCCGGATGGAGAACCGGCCCCGCCGCACCTCGGGCCGCCACTCCGAGGTGATGACGATGTCAGCATCACAGGTGTGAACTCTTCCCGGTATGCACCAGAATTTCGGTTTCCTCTCGTGGCCGGCCCGGTACGTGCAGGTCACCGAGAGGGACCCCCCCAGGACTCCTCGGACGGTGCCGGGCCCCGTCACCGCCCAGCAGCCTGCGGAGACACACGGAG